TATAGGTGTCTTATATGGCCCAAAATACACTAATGGGTTGCCGGGTCTTTGTAACAAGACAAACCAAAAGGCCAATCAAAAATAGCACAAAACAAGTCCATTGTTGTTATACCCAGTAGTAGCCCAGTTCCATAGGGCCAGGTAAACCTAACAGGTGATGGTTTGTAATGTCTGTGTTGTGCTAGGCAGTTTACGGATATTTACTCTATAGCAGGGGTGCCCAAACTCGGTCCTGGAGGGCCAGTGTCCTGCAGAGTTTAGCTCCAACCCCAATTAAACACACCTGAACCAGCTAATCAAGCTCTTATAGGCATACTAGAAACTTACCAGCAGGTGTGTTGAGGTAAGTTGGAGCTAAACTCTGCAGGACACCGGCGCTCCAGGACCGAGTTTGGGCACCCCTGCTCTACAGTATTGCAACATTAATTGCCAGCTATGGTATGCTAAGCTAGTAGGCTAAACCGCAGGCCATCTGGAAACAAAAAGAAGTCAAATGTTTAATTTATTAATTTTAGCTTCAGTAATAAAATGCTGGAAATGAGTTAGCATTTTAGCACTTCCTGAAGTCAATAGGTTTTTTTTTTTACTGGTTGTTGGTTAAACGTCTTAAATAATGTTTGTGGTTTGGACACGATCTAGACATTTTCATGTTTTATTCTACACCAGCAAAATGCATCCGTAAAACCCCCTTTTAATTTGTTTAAGTTTTTACTTGTCTTGAAAAAGCGGTTGATAACAAATGGGACTACAGAGTTTGTTGGGGACATTAAACATTACTTCTGATTGGCTTAAAAAAAAAAAAACATGTAAGAATCATAAACTTTTGTTGTCCTTAGAGCATATTTTCTGCAATAATCCAAACACCAGTGTAAAAATCCTATCCGAGGGAATCAGGGTGATGCTAACTTTCAGGTTGGCCCACAAAAATACATCATTACGGCGGCACTCAATATAACACGATATACAAATTGCAACTCAAAACGTGCTTTTTATATATTTTCATGATTATTTCACATTTTATGTTTATTTATTATTAATTATTTTTAATCAAACACTATATAAAATACACATAGAAATGTTTCTCAGCCCATGGAATCATTTGGGACAGGATTCTGTAGGATGATATCCCTTTACACGACATCTCCCCATGTTGATCCATTGATCATGACTCTTGTACGCTCCCTACTGTTGCAAACGGATGCCCTGTAGTGAACTTTATCTGTATCTCTCTCTCTCTCTCTCACCCAGCCTCCAGGCTTCCCACTCCCCATGGAGTTCCTTAAGCCCAGCATTCTGAGGATAAGTGATACGCTATCTAATTATATTCCTCATTTACAGCCTGATCCATGGGCTGATTCTTCTGAGCCACCAAACGCTGGCCATACCTCTACCAGTGGGGAATGATCTGAATGTATTTACCTTATGCCTGCAACTACACACACACACACACTCTAGTCTTTATAACACGCTATCGCGTGGATTATGATTTTGTAGTTGTAGTGTAGCATGCACATAGCACACGTGCATTAGCAGCAAGGTATCGCTGCAGCACTGGTGTCTAATAAAGGGGTGCGAAGTGTAACATTCCTCTCCACCAGCCTGATATTCCCTTCACTACAGCACTCCATCTGCCTCATGCTCATCTAGATGCTAATTTATTCTAATAATGACACCTCCGCATATGATTGGCAGATGCATGATTAGTGGATTGGGTTGAGTTTTGTGTGTGCGTGTGCATCTAAGTGCGGCTTTTGGCAGGGTTGGGGTTGGTAACCTGTTAAGCAGAGAAGTTACTCCAAATCTATCCTAGAGAAACGTTGTTTACCCTTTATATCAGCACATTGCTTGTTTTGCATAATTGTGGAAAAATAGAGTGAGCCGTAGCATAAGTCAAAGTTCAAGGGTCCACGGTTAAAATTGAACAGGAAGAGACACTCTGGAGGCACTTTTCTTTTCAAAATAACATTTCCCCGCCATTGGCACTCTTCAGATTGCAGCCTATAGAAATAGACTTGCAGTTGGCATGCCGAGTCTTATCTCCTCGGGAGACATGAGGCTGCCGTAAATCAGTTCTTTTCAAGATTGAAAATGAAGACCAGACCCTCACTCCCTCACCCTTAACACAACTCTTAAATAGACCACCCCACAGGAGACTCCTTTAAGAGTCTGTCCATTCAAAGCCAATACAATACTGCTCTTTCCTTTTAAAGCCACATTTCTAATATGCTACTGCAAGGCCTTAGAACTGCACACTTGATTGGCAGATCCTACAGATAAGATCTTTAGCTTGATCGGTTAAAGTTTTACACCGCTCTCCAAGCGTGGGCCAGCAGGATTTGTCGATCTTGGAACTGGTAATGTGTATGTCAGCCTTGGTTCGTGCTTCTGTAGTCCTCCAGGGCAAAATTGAACGGTTATGCAGAAACTCTGAATTTTATTCACACACCAACAGACCAACTGTCTGAATGAGGGTCATTAACTTATGCAACGGATTCACAAATGTCAAGGCAGCTTGACCGACACAACTGACTTCCTGCGCGCAGAAAGTGGGTGGTAAATAGAAAGTGATGTTTTAAAGGGGTCATATGATGTTACTAAAAAGAACATTATTTTGTGTTATTGGTGTAATGAAATGTGTTTATGCGGTTTAAGGTTAAAAAAACACATTATTTTCCACATACTGTACATTATTGTTTCTCCTCTATGCCCTGCCTTTCTGAAACGTGTCGATTTTTACAAAGCTCATCGGTCTGAAAAGCGAGGTGTGCTCTGATTGGCCAGCTATCCAGTGCGTTGTGATAGGCCGAATACCTCAAGCGTGTGACGGAAATGTTACGCCCCTTACCATATTGTGATGCCGTGTCAGGCCAGAGCGACGAGACAAAAACATTAAAACCCATTATAAACGAGGCATTTGTTGCATCCAGTGGGGACATAATTACGGATTATAATGATTTATACTGTCTTTTGACGCGTGGCGTTGCATCGCGTAAACATAAAACCATGTCTGCATTTGTGATCAGAGAAATGACAAACAACAAGTGCTACTCTACACTGCTCAAAACTCGCGTTTGAATCGTCAGTGGCAAATTCTTTAAATATAAAAAATGTACTTACAGTCTGTGAGTCAGAACAGCCGGCATTGTAGTCTACTCTCCCAGGATCAGGATACAGTCCTCCATAAAATGCACTGCACACATCTGGATACTTGGGTTAAACTAAATATTTGGGTAAAACAGTGTTGTAAATACAACTTAACAACTGATTTCTAGTCGTGTCCTCTTTTGGAAGGCCAAACAAAGTAGTTTCGCTTTCACAACGAAACACACGGCGGGCTAGAGTGAGTGGAGGTCGGCTTGAGTGAGCGGAGGCGGGCGGGCTTGAGAACGGTGCGTCCGGCGGGCTTGTGACGACCACATGTGACGACCCCGGGCTGGACTCCGCTTCATCCACGGTGAAAGCCGATCCGGCAATCCACAGTGCAAAGTTAATGTATTTCCTCAGCGACCAGCACGGATCAGCTCCAGGCATGACGAAACTGATATCGTCCTCTTTTGGAAGCCCAAACAAAGTAGTTTCGCTTTCACAATGAAACACGCAGCGTCTTCCCGACATGACGGTGGTGGCAACAACAATGCTACAGCGAGAATAAAAGATTGCTTGAACATTTGGGCGGCGTTATGCAAATCTTCCCACATCGCGACGTAGACATGTGGGGGCGTGTTAGAACGAGCCGTTTTAGATAGGCATGGCTGACACTTAACTTTTATAAAGAATATCTCTTTGGATTTGAGACTTTAATCTTTGCAAATTTACAGATCTTCTTTATGCACCAAGAGCTTGTAACACTCCAAAGAGAAAGGCAAAATTGAAATCGCATCATATGACCCCTTTAAAAAGTATGTACATTTTCTACTGAATGAAGATCGAGTGATGAAGAAGAGTGTTATAGCATGGCACACATCCAGACTCAGACTTAGTTTCAGCATTTTAAAGAGCCAATTCAAGTGTCTGGTGTGATGCAGTCTCAGTAAAACATACCAGATTGCTGTAGTCTGTCGCATCTTCCACAACCAAGACCAAAGATTGGGAACTGCATACTGTACATATTAATCTCTGCAACAATAAAATGTGCAACGCTTTGTTTTACTACCTTATACGTGATATCAAATTAATTTAACTTACACTAGAAAGCATTCTTCGGAATCGCATGTTTTTGGGGCATGTACATTCCTGAACATGATGAACGCTTAGCCTGATTTCTCAAAAAATTGAAAACTTTTCCTGCATTTTGTTTGTTAATTTACTTGACAACAGGCGTTTGGGGACCTGAAAATGCAAACTTTTGAAAATGGGTTTCAAAGTGCAAGTTTTTGAAGACAGTACTGTTGTATCCGTGTGTATTAGATCTGGGACAGTTTTGCAAGTTGCCAAGACCAAATGTGGGTACTGGGACAGGCCCATAGTGTTCCTATAGCTCAAACAGTACAGCATGGCATTAGCAATGACAATTTTGTGGGTTCGAATCCCAGGGAATTTGTGATTTGATAAAAATGCATCCATTGAACGCAATCTAAGTCTGTCAAATGAATATATGCAAATTTGCATAATTTATTCAGCAAATAGACAATGCTGTTAGAAGGTAATTTCCATTCAGTGCAACTTCACGAAATTCTCATGTCTCTACCTCTACAGTGTTGTCTTGTACTTCTGGAACTGCATGACAATACGGAAAATATGCATGCATATGTGATATGAATCATTAGATGGAATATAATGTTACCATAAAATATTAGCAAACATTCTGATGTTTATATAAATTGATTTAACCTAAAATGCTGGCTAGAATGCCTATTGTAACAAAGCAACACTTAATCGTCTCTCGTTTCGAAAAGAGATTCCTATGACTCTCTCTGGCAAACAGGAATCACACAGTGTTAGAGCACAGTTTTTGAGTATGTGACGAGTAACTACTGTATGTGCATCTGTTCTCCCCTCAGGACCTCCGACCATCTCCAGCACACAGACCCATCAGGCTCCACATGGGGAAAAGGGACAGATCAAATGTTTCATCCGTAGCACGCCACCCCCAGACCGCATTGTGAGTTACTCAGCTCTCTCCTTCCAGTGACTCAGCTCAGACAGGACTGCAGCTATTGAGTGGGTGGTTGCTGTTGTCACATGGCTCGTGTGACTCCATTAGACTCAGTAAACACAGTCCGAAAATGCATAACACACTCATGAGTTACGATCTGTTTAATAAATTAAATTGCATCTGAAATAATTTGTTTCCTCTATATGAGTGAACGGGTATTAGACATGGCAGGCTTACAGCCCTAATTTCTCATTTAATGCATGCTTATGCCCTGTTACCACAGATCCAATTAGGATTTACCACTCTTAGATGAACTGTCTCCTCTCCGGGCCAATTTTTGATTCATTACTCACACTGTGCGTGTATGTGTGTGTTTGTGGCTGTGCGCATGGAAGTGCATAGGTAATCTCTGTGCGATGTTTACCCATGTGGCTTTGCTTTTATCGCTATGCTATTTCTAAATGTCAGTTGAATGGGAAAGACTGCTCCTGTGGTCCGGAACAACCAGTAATAACTTTGGAAGTGTGTAATAACGCCCATAAAGCAGTTGAAAACAAACACGGGTCTCTCTTTCCTTCTGAAAAGACAAGCTTGCACCAGCAAGCTGATTCAGAATAGTTTATGATGGTTAGTGTTTGTCTAAATGGTAGAGACATGCCATTTACCAGGAAAATGTGCTGGTTGTAAAGCTGGAAAGGAGGTTTTGCTGGTGAAGCCAGCCTGCTGGTAACCAGAATGTATTTATGTATGTATGCATAAATGACTAAATTCTGCTAAATGACTAATGTACATATGTATGTATGTATGTATGTATGTATGTGTTTATTTATTTTTATTTATTTATTATTTTATTTATTTGTATATATTTTTTATTTGTTATGTATTTTTATTTTTTACTTTTTTAATAAATCTGCAAAAATGTCAACAATTCTGTGTTTTTCTGTCAATATGGGGTGCTGTGTGTACATTAATGAGGAAAAAAAATTAACAAATGATTTTAGCAAATGGCTGCAATATAACAAAGAGTGAAAAATTTAAGGGGGTCTGAATACTTTCCGTACCCACTGTATATAGAAAATGCCTTGAATACGTTTATTTTTGTATGATGCAACAGACTAGCATCCAAAACAACTTATGCTGATCTTTTCAATATGGTTTCTCCGTTCTTCATCAGGCCTGGTCCTGGAAGGAGACCGTCCTGGAGTCAGGGACGTCAGGTCGCTACACGGTGGAGACAGTAAGCACAGAGGACGGAGTGCTGTCCACCTTGACCATGAGTAACATCGTACCCGCCGACTTCCAGACCATCTACAACTGCACTGCCTGGAACAGCTTTGGCTCCGATACAGAGATCATTCGCCTCAAGGAACAAGGTGGGAGCCAAGGTTCGCCAGGATTCGCCTTAGTTTCTTTAAAACATGCCTGTGGTAGAGTAGTGATGCAGTGTTTAATAGCCATAGTTTCTGAAAACACTGGAATAGAGTAGAATCTTAAAAAAAACATTTGATATTTTCTCCATTACTTTCCATTTATCAAATTAGCAAGTCTCCTTTTAATACATTTTAATGTATTTATATACTAGATTTAAAGGGGTCATATGATGCTGCTAAAAATAACATTATTTGGTGTAATGGAATGTGTTTATGCGGTTTAAGGTTCAAAAAACACGTTATTTTCCACATACTGTACATTATTGTTTCTCTATGCCCCGCCTTTCTGAAACACGTCAATTTTTACAAAGCTCATTGGTATGAAAAAGCGAGGTGTGCTCTGATTGGCCAGCTATCCAGTGCGTTGTGATTGGCCGAATTCCTCAAGCGTGTGACGGAAATGTTACGTCCCTTACCATATTGTGATGCCTGTCAAAGTAGTTTCGCTTTCACAATGAAGCACACAGCGTCTTCACGACATGATGGCAGCAACAACAATACTACAGCGAGAATAAAAGTTACGCCTTCTTTCTTTGCGTGAACATTTGAGCGGTGTTATGCAAACTTACCACATTGTGACGTAGACATGTGGGGGCGTGTTAGAACGAGCCGTTTTAGGTAGGCGTGGTTGACTCTTAACTTTTATAAAGAATATATCTTTGGATTTGAGACTTTAGTCTTTGCAACTTTACAGATCTTCTTTATGCACCAAGAGCTTGTAACACTCCAAAGAGAAAGGAAAAATTGAAATCGTATCACCTTTAATTCACAAATAACTGACAGTCACAACCTACATGTGGTTTTCAATTAAAATAATCAGTAATAAACTTCTGCATTAGTACATTGTCACACCATGTGTCGCACACATTCAACCACTGACAATAACACGGTTCTTGGCTGAATTTAAGTGGATCATTGAATCAGTGAGTTGCTGACTTAAGAACAGTCTGATTCTCTAATGAATCGTTCAGTGTTCATCATCAGGTTCACTGGAAAGAATCAGCTTTTATCTTCTTTTCTTTAAAACATGCCTGTGATAGCGTAGTGATGCGGTGTTTCATTACCATGGTTTTTAAAAAGCACTGGAATAGAGCAGAATCTGAGTTTTTTTTTTTCATCATTACTTTCCATTTATCACTTTGTACATTATGAATCACTTTACACAAGATTAGCTAGTCACATGTAAATCATATTAATCTCTTTTAATGTATTTATACCAATTTTAGATTACAAATTGTATTTCTTGCCAAATGATTATTTCAGAGCAACACACTAATTGCACGTATATAACTGCAACTTTAATAAATCATATAAATCTGTTAACAGCACTTAGCACTATTTAATTTGCAGCCTTGTTACAGTGATTTTTTTTTTTCTCGTGCATTTCTTGAAATCTATTTTCCCAGTGCTTTCATAGTTTGGATTTGTTTACATGCAATACATTTTTAGTCCTGTTTTGACTGACGTTAGTGGTTCTTTAATGGATTTGTTCCCCAAAAAATTAGAATTTGGTCATCATTTTCACTAATTTCAAACCCTAATGATTAAAGATTGTACATAATGCGTTGGTTGTTCTTTTCTATTTAATTACAATAAATGGGGGCTAAAGCTTTTAAGCTTAAAAAATAAGTATCATAAATACAACTCTTCTCGGGTGACTATATATCCTCTTTTTCCCAGTTGGGGTTTCTAAATTGTCTTAAATGTCTGGGTTTTGGCTTTGTTTTCCTATTGTTGTCGTACTTGCTGAAGGAAAAGACTGAAAAGTACTTTGACCAATAGCATTCAAGCATTGTACATAATCGACCAATTGTGGCACTGAGAAGGCGGGATCTACAAAGAATGATCAAAACCATGCAAATACGCAAGTACATGTAATGCATGAGTCCTGTTAAGAGCACGTCAATAATAAAACAAAGCCATAACCTGGGCATTTTAGCCAATATAGAAATCCTAGCCGGGAAAAAGAGGACATAAGGCTACCCTAGACTTTTCTGAAGTCTTTTAAATCCATACAGTATCATTGTGTGACAAAAACATTTTTGGAAAAACTATTCCTTTAAAACATATATCCCCAGGTTTATAAGAACAGCAAACAATAATTCAGACATTAAACAGGCATACACTGTGAGTACGCAGAGCTCGTAATGCTTAGTTTATACAGGGAGCCAGTAATTAACTTTGTGTAGGTATAGCTTTTTGTCTGCCTCAGCCTCTCGTTATCGTTTGGCTGTAAAATCTGGGCTCCATCTTTTGGTTTAAACATACCAACAAGAGCACAAATAAAACAGTTGGGTTGGCTCTAATTAATCTAAAGCCATGTCTTTGCAAAACACTATTAGGTTTTTATAAAAGTCCTATTAGAATCCGTAAATGATCCAAGGTGAACGATAACAACCCATGCAGTGTTCAGTTTATGCACACGCAAGACATGTGTCATGCACTGAATGTATGTGATAATTGGCATAGCTGCAAATTGTCAGATTAAAGTGAAGGTACCTGAGTTTTCGCTAGAAGGTGATGGTGGTGTTAATTGCCTGTAGAAGTTCTTTTGAATAGATGCCTTGAAGGTGCGAATGTCTCTTCGACATGGCATTTGACATTCCTATTTGTTCCATGCTAGTGCGAATCTGGAAATATGTTCAGGAGTGAACGGTGGCGTCTGTGTTTGAGCGCTTATTTACTGGATTTACCCGTCCTGTCCATGCTGTGTTATTGTAGAAGGCTCTGTTTTGTTTTCCAACAGATTCCCTCCCTGTTGCTGTGATCATCGGCGTGGCAGTTGGCGCTTTCGTTGCTTTCATCGTCCTCATGGGAACCATTGGCGCGTTCTGCTGTACGCGCTCTCAGAGAAGTATGTACCTCTCAGCCCATCGTGTTCCTGCATGTCCATCACCAGAGAACGCTAAGTGCTCCTCAGTCAGACAAAGAGCAGGGTGTTAGGGTGTTCATGTCACTTAACAGAAACCAGGCCTTTATTTCTATATCTTATTTTTCGTCGAGTGTTTGTGTAGGGTTGGGCGGCATGATGGCATAGAGCAGAAAGTAGTCTGTGATGCTGATGAAACTGTTGTTTAAAAATCCTACAGTAGAAAACTCTAGCTGTTTTCCAATATAGACAACGTGTTGGGGTATTTTGCTTTGGTGCTCCTTGTGTTTCTAACTAATTCTAGCTAATTTAGAATTACCATACATTCACTTTTTCCCAGATATGCCCTGGCTGGGATTTCTAAATTGCCGCTTTGTTTTCCTATTGTTAGGTAATGACTGAAAAGTAGCTTGACCAATAGCGTGCAGGCATTTTACATAATCGACCAATCGTGGCATGTGAGAAGGTGGGATCTACAGAGAACAATCAAAACAATGCAAATGCGATAGTACGTATAATGTATGAGAAAGTCAATCGGAAAACAAAGCAAAAACCCAGACATTTTAGGTAATTTACACATGTCCGTATATGGTCACCCAAAGCTAATTGGTTAGGTTTAACTGTTGCTTACAGTGATTTACAGTAGAAACATTGCAACTTGTTTCTCTAATTGAATTAATTAACTGAACAGGTGAGCACATGTATATGAATTAGCTATTTTACATTAGCGTGGCTTATTCAGTTATACTTTTATATATACTTTATGAGTGTTTTGTTATTAACAGCTGCATGTTAGTGCCACCTTAAAAAAATCCTAAAATTAAGTTATAAAATTAGGAGTCATACTATTGCATTAATAAAATAGAACATAATATAACAAATGTTTTACTTGACTTTATTCCCATAATTTTGACCTTGTTGTTAAAACATTACCATTGCATTAATGAACTGTTTTGTTTTTATTCTCAAATTTGTCTCTTTTTTTTTCAATGTTACAGTAAAAATCTGATTTTTTTTTTTTTTTACATTTTTGTTCACTAATGATACTATGATATAAAGCTTTTGTCATGCCGCCCACCCTTATCTCTGTTATTTGTCTTCATTTTACCACGACCATCCTCTGTCATGATCAAAAGAGAAAACAGCTCATCCATGTACAGGTTAGAGTCAGACAGCGAACAATGAGCATGTAGTTTCTGATTGTTGGTGGCATTGGGTTGAGCATGTTGTTGTTGTTGTATGCCACAGAAGACGCTCACCTGGTTATGCCTACACTGCCCACCTCCATCTGTGCTCAGCAGAGAGAACTTGCAAGCAAAATTAAGACAGAAAGTAAGACCTGTTACCTGACCGTCACCAATTGTCTGTAAACATTGTTCTTCAATGCGTCAACATGAGCTGTGTGATTCTGATGTATCTAATGGTTCCTCTAGGGTTTCCTCTTATCTTAGTTCTGTGGTTTTATGCTGCCTTCAAGTCCTCCTGGGAAGTTTATACTCAAAGTCTTGGATGTTTGGATGTTGTCATTTTAATGGTACACGATTTTAGTTGGAATAAAATGGACAAATTCATATCAATTTAATTTTAATTTATCTCTATTTAATTAACTTGCTGACAAAGTCAGGAAACAATTTTTGAAGAACAAGGTGTGTGTTATGCTTAAGCTAAGTATTTTAATATTTGCATTGTACCACAGTAGTTTATTTTTAAATGTTTAAATGTTCCCCCTTCACCCAAGCTTTTTGGGATTATTTATTTATTTATTTTCTTTCATTGATTTTTCCCATGCGTTTTTATGGTTCATACATTATGATACATTGAGTATATGGAGCTCATACTTGAGCAGAAAAAAAAACTAAATTTTATTCAAAGGCCCAAGCTCTCTAAAAATATGCAGTTTGCTGCAGATGCTGATATTTACAGTATATGGCCAAAAAGTAAGATGAAATGCTGATAGCTTGTAATGTAAACATATGAGATCGTTATAACAGTATAACAGATAATAAAATGCATATACATATTAGTTGTCACTCTATATCTCTCAATAACATGTCTGAGTAAGATGATTTAAATGAGATGAACCATAAACATTCCACAAAAAACCTGATGGATAATATTTAATACATTTCAGCATGAAAAAAAATGTTTTTTATGTATATATATATACATATATATGTTACCCACAGAAAAGTTGGGACTTGTGTATGTGTGTGCTAATCTCATAAATTCGCAAATTTCGACATGACTTGAAGGCAGCATTCGTTTCATGGATTAAAGCAAAGTGAAGTGGCATGGAGTAGATTGCATTTTTCGTAATATTTCACATCAAGTGCATTACATTTAATGACACTGGAGTAACACTTGTCACTTTCCTCTCAGACCTCAAAGGCGTGGTATCAGCCAAGAACGACATCCGCGTGGAAATTGTACACAAAGATCACAACGCAGCCCGAGAAAACGAGGATCACTCCGCCATGAAACAGCTCATGGTGAGTCACGTTCTGAAGAAAGAAAACAGTAAACATCCCGCTCGCCATTACCCCATCGGCACCCCCAACAAACTAGCTCATTATACTAGTCCCTGTCACATCCGTAGCTAATGAATGCTAATCATTGAGTCACGTTTCTGAAGGAAGAAAACAGTAAACATCCCACTTGCCATTACCTTACCCGCACCCCCAAATCAACAAGCTAGCTCATTATGCTAGTCCCTGTCACATCCGTAGCTAATGAATGCTAATCATCCCCACCCCAACACTAATAGCGCATATCTCCCTAGCCACTGCTAACGTCAAACCCATGAATAATGCAGCATAAGTGTGAGAACCCCCCTGGCCTGCATGCCTATATTTAGCCCCCAGTCTGCATTTCCTGGGAGGACATGGGCATAGATGTAACCATAGAGATGCAAGTGATCAAGTGGTCCTTTTCTCCTGGAACCCTTGGTGAACTTCTGTCAAAACACATGCTGCCACGATCTCTGGAAATTTCACTCTTTGTCAAACAAGCCTCCGAGGCCCAGAATCAGAGTTCTGTTTGGACTTAATATGTAAAACACACTTTAGACTTTAGACAACAAGTGAGAGAATACCTCACAAAGATGGTGTTGTATTGCATATTTTTGCTAATTATTTGAAGATTATTCACAGGAAATCGCCCCAGTTGAAGTAGCTTTCCTTTTGGAATATCTCATGAAAAAGCGCACATAGTGAGAGTAACCAAGAATGTAATGTGTGAACGGATCTGATGTTTGCCACAGATTGAACGGGGAGAGTTTCAGCAGGAGTCCGTTCTGAAGCAACTTGAGGTACTTCAGGAAGAGGAGAAAGAGTATCAGCACATCAAGGTATGTCTCAATGGGATTTGAAGGAAGTGGTGCGAGAAAGAGAGAGGTTGTTAAATGACACCACACTAAAACTTCTTCAATGTTATTTTTATAGGGCTGCCAATCGATTAAATCTAATAATGATTTAAGTCATATTTTTGCTGTCGTTAACATGTTAGCACATCATTTCTGGTAACACTTTATTTTGAGTTCACTATAGACATTCTACTAACATTAAGTAACTTTGCAACTACATGTCAACTAGCACTCAGAGTATTAGTTACTGTCTGCGTAATATCTGATAACACTTTATTTTGATGGTCCCCAACAGACATACTATAAGTAACTGACATAAGTACATGTCAACTTAAGGCCAAGGTATTGTGACTCAAAGTCCATCACCAGACTGAGTATGTGCACCATCCAATATTTTGTAACTGCACATATTTTGTAATAGGGCTGCACGATTAATCGAGTGCGATGTTCATGCGTATCTTGTCAGTAAAGCCGGTTCTCTGATTAGAAGTAAAACTCCAGCACGTGCTTTCAGATGGAGCAGCATTTACTACTCAGAGCCATAGTTCACTGACAAGATACGCAAAATCGCGTTCATAATCGCAGATGATTTAATCGTGCAATTATGAAATCGAAGAAATCGTTCTGCGATCATGAAAGCTGTTTGCGTAGCTTGTCAGTAAACTACGGCTCTGTGTGGTAAATGCTGCTCCATCTGAAAGCACGTGAAAATACCACATTTAATAACATGTTTTTACTCCAAACTCACTTCATAACGTCAGTCGAGTGTTTGAAATAAATCCCTCTGTGAGATAAGGTGGCTTCTTACACACAATAAGGCATGCAACATATTTCATAGTATTCTAAGCAGTGATAAAGGCTATGTTGATTAGGATTGCATTATTATATACTTTATTATAATAAAAATTATAATAAGAATAACTCAGATAAACCATATATTGCCGTAGTCGTGTGTTTATTAGTCACGTTGAATTAATGAAAGCAGTTAAATCTTGTTTATTCAGCAACCGCTATAGGCATTTCCTGGGTTTCTTCTGCGAGGCGTATTTGGAGTTTCCTCGCGAGAGCACCCTCTGGCCTTCGGATGGAGATTTACTGCTGATCACAGAACCGTGCTTCACTGAAAGATACGCGTGACAATGGCAGCTTCTGCCTAATCGCGATTTATCGCCTTTGTGATTTAATTTTGATTAATCGTGCAGTCCTACTTTGTAACAGTCATAACGTCTGGAGAAAAATAGTGCAGACACAAAGATGAAGCTTTCTAGAGCGCTTGCATAGACCACCTGTATTAACGGACACCTCAAATGGACTATACTTTGAAAGGCTATGTGTACGACTGAAAGTGGACATAAGAGATGGATTAAAACACCAGGTGTAAATGGGAATGTGTCTCCTTCATCTACTATGTACCGATCAACCAAAATGCATCTTAATACCAGGTGCAAACAGGGTTGTAGTTGCAAATAATGAGTTAGTTGACATGTAGTTACTTAGAGTTAGTAGAAACCTAATTTAACTTAAAGAGTAGCCTAATTTCCTCACAAAACAATATGAGTGTAATGAGTTGACTTCAGAAGTTTGTTTAGATTACAGTTACACTCTTAAAAAAGTAATGGTTTATTATTGGCATCTATGATTCCATAAAGAACTTTTAACATCCATGGAACATTTCTGTTACACAAAAAGTCCTTTATGGTGGAAAGAGATTCTTCAGATTTGTTTAAATATTCTTCACACTAAGAAAAACAAAATGGTTCTTTTAAGATTTGTTCACTAGTTCTTTGGGAAACCAAAAATGGTTTGCTGCAAAAACGAGTGTATTTCTTAGAAGATGTATATTTACATTTTTGTTCAGCCCAAACCCTTTTTATTCAAGAATTAAAGCCTCATTAGCAATTATAATTACCCTTTACATATTTGCACTGATCATTGAGTATTTTAAGTGTTCAGGTACTAATTTAGCTCATTTTAGTGTAAGCTGAAAGAATAACTATCGTGATTATAGTTTGATTAACATATGATCCCACTGTTAAGCAGTTTCAATTCTTGACAGAAGCTGCATAGCCATTATTCTCTTGTTTGTATTTATCTCAGTGTGCAAACACGGTATTCTTGAAGTCTGTTTCATGGCCCGCCCAACCTGCTCCCTGCGGGATTGATTCCCTCCCTACATGTAGATGAGTTTGTAAAATGTGCAGTGTGAACAGGGACAGCTCCATACAGATACGTAGTGCACACAATCCCTGTCGCCTGATAAAACCTGCCTGACAATGCTTTCTCGCATTGTCATAGAGAAGTCACCTAACGGTGATTATCGCCTCTCCCCCGCGGGATGTGGCCTGCGCATCTGCTCAAAATGGCATTCACGTCCACATTGTGGGACCTGTTTTGCTTCTTAGCAACCGTGCTGATATAACACCACGACAACGACAGCAGCCATGGAATCAAGTTCCTTCGCTTTGATTATTTCTTTCTGTGATGGATTTAAAAAGCCATGATATTGAAGTCCAATTAAAGCTGAAAAGTGCAGACTAACAACAACATTGTGTTTCAAGGTTCTGCTTAATTAGCCTATAATGATATTTTAGAAATTACTGCTAAGGATTGTCACTTTGTCTCTTACCTTTGTTTTATGTTTGCATGTTTCTTGCCTTTATTAATGTTTCGAAACAGAAGTAATGGCAGTGCAGAAAGAAAAGGAATAGTCTGCATTGCATAGCTGAGTTATTGCAAATTATCTAAGATAATTTTAAATAATTTTAGCCAAGATTACATGTGAATAACACAGAAGTATTCAATTAGAATGAGATAAAATCACAAAATACGTCTTTGCAATACAAATTAAGCTAACCTCCTCATGGTCATCCAGTCCTGTCTAAATAGGTAGGAGTGCAATTGTATTAAGACTTTTTGATTGTTTGACAGCAAAACAAGTACCATTGAGATTCCAAAAGCTGACATACTGTAGAGCCTTCAAAAGTGTCAGATACTGTTTGTTTGAGTATAAGAGCTTCGAAATGCATCATAACAGACTTAAGGAGCGTTCACACTGACAGTGACTGAATTGCAGGAGGTTACCAACTCTTTGTGCATTTGGTGTCTAGTAGTCAATCCCATTCAACTGTATGCATCTATGCATGGCAGCAGATCCCTGCATGTACTCCAACTGGAAGACGCTGCATTGCTTTGATGTTTATTTGCCTAATGGTGAGCCCCTCACCAATGATTCAGATATTGGCAACTCTTTAAAATTAATTGCTTCAGGGGCCAGTTGCATAAAATTAAGCAAGTCTTAAAAGTTAGACATCTATTTTTAATCCTGCAAGACTGGTCATAACTTTTTAAAACCAGTTACATAAAAACGTAGATTGGTCTAATTTGAATCCGAAAAGTAAGACTGATTACCATTTGGTTGACTGCTAGGTAGTCAAACTAGTTCTTGCAAGTTTATGCAACTGCCCTCTGGTATCAGTTCGCTGTCAGTGTGAAATACCTTTTACCACCATTTTTTTGTCATTATACTAGTGTATATGCTCATTGGCATTGATTGTTAATGCATTGCTTCTCAAAGGACCCCACTAATGGATACTACAGTGTGAACACCTTTAAGGAGCACCATGGCACCCCAACCACGCTGGCCGGGAACCAGACCACAGAGCTCCGCCGAGACCCTGCCACAGCCACCACCGGCAAGCAGCGGGTTCCCACAGGAATGTCTTTCACCAACATCTACTCTACCTTGGGTGCTGGACCCAACCGCCTGTACGACTACAGCCAGCGGTTCGTGCTGGGCATGGGCAGCAGTTCCATCGAGCTTTGCGAGCGAGAATTCCAGCGAGGATCGTTGAGTGATTCCAGCTCTTTCCTGGACACACAGTGCGACAGCAGCGTCAGCAGTTACAGCAAGCAGGATGGTTATGTGCAGTTCGACAAGGACAGCAAGGCCTCAGCCTCGGCCTCTTCCTCGTCCCATTACTCTCAGTCATCGTCCCAGAACTCAGACCTCACACGGCCACTGCAGAAACGCATGCAGACCCACGTCTGACTGCAGGAGATGGACAGAGGAATCCAGCGCTAGCATTGGCCAAAGGGGATTGAATCCCCCCAACCCCACAGATGCGAATCAGGAACAAGTTCAAGCACATCTAGCACACCAGTTTCATTTGATCCTCCACTTCTTTTGCTTTGAACATTTATTTGATATCTGTGAATTTCCTAATTTGTCCAGATCTTATTTACAGCTCTGAAAAGCCTTACTGGTTTCAGAACCTTGTCTTGACCCTTCCGAATGCCCTAAATATCTGGGCCAAAAACGTCCTCCAAACAACAGTGTGCCACAGTGATGTCACATGCCAATGGAGAAAGACACAAGACCCTGAACAAATCTAGTGTCCTAGATGCCGTTCCAGTAACTTTGGAACAGCTCTGAATGAATGACTTCCTCGAAGAAAGCATAGCAACAATGCTCAAATGAACTCTTCGAAGAGAGTTCTGTGGTCCATTCACTAGAGGACAATGCTCTGTTGCTCCTGTACATTAAAGCACAACTGTCAAAGCTGTATGTAAGATTTCTCAATGCCTCTACCACAGCTAGCTAAACAAATTAAAAAAATATAAAAGGACAAAAAAAAAAGAAATAGATCAATGTATGAACTGAATTAACAACTAAAGTCAGTCAGAATTCTTGGATTCTGACCCTTCTGACAAAGGTTTGTCTGACATACAAATATGAGATGTGGCTCTGAGCTGTCACTTTACCATTCAGAGAGAAGATATATTTGTGTACTTTGTTGTTCTTTCTTTCTGAGCATTCTTTATTTTCAGTGTTTTAACAACATGGTTTTAAAAAGTGTGTTGGACTTGCACTGGGAACTAGAAGGATGATGTAATCTCGTCTGGTTATGTGGTTATGAGAGGAGAGAAGAGTCTTTCTCTTTTTTTTTAAATACTATTATTTCCGAAAATGGTTGCTTTGGGTTGATGTGAATCATGTGCCAATGATGGGAACAATGATGTTTGGATTTCAAAAAGATGTACTATATCCTGTGTCCTGCTGTGTGAAGTTGAATTATAACACTTAAACATCTTCCTTTTGATTCATATAAATCATCTGGGCTTGTTACACGTCTTGCAGAACACAAATTTAGTTTATGTGGTTTGAATATGTCTACTGTTCATGTGGCTGCCATTGGACTGTACAGCATTGAGTACTCTCACTGTTATAAGTGAGCAATTTATGTACATGTTTTTTGAATGGAGTATGGGTGTTCATGCTTAATGTAAATGTATGTTGTTTTGTTTTTCCCTTTTTCAACGTTTTAGTTTACAGTACTGAAATTGCAACTTGCGGCACTACTGATAACTCAAGCACTTCTACACTCGACACCTGTAAAGTAAAATCACTCTTAGACTCAAATCAGTGTACTGAAATCAAGCTAACGCAATTGAGCTAGCATTGCAAACTATGTATGATGTGCAGAAAGACACAAACTACTCAAAAGCCAATGCAGTGGTGTATGAAAAGCTGGAAACAAGAGACATTCGGACAATTAAAGTGACAAAACCATATTTCCAGCTGTTCTGAAAGCATAACTCTTCCAGGGCTCTTCACAAGAGACTTTCACTTAAGCTACAGTGCCAATGATGTTGACCCACTTGCTTTGCCAAAAGAAATGGATGCATTTGATTGATTAGATTATCTGCTCTATTTCCCAATTCATTAAGCTTTTTGGTTATTGCTATTCTGGGGAGAAATGTTCAGACTGCCAAAAAAAAATCAAAATGATGGCAGCATGCTTCAAGTGCTAGACAAGAGTACAGCCATTATCTATGTGGTGTTATATTAAGTGGCATAATTGTATGAAATTGCCAATGACCCCTTATAACAAGGTTCAGGCTTATCCCATTATGAGTACCAACTGTGCTTGCATCCGGTGATACCGACACCTTTTTCACTGCCAAAGTTTTCCTAGGTTATATGGCACTCTGAATCTACATTTAGTTGACTAACCCCTCCAGTCCTGACCTATGATTGGAGAAACAGATTGGACGTAAAAGCTATCAGTGTGTTTTGCTTATCAAAGCTTCGAACACTTCACTCTTTTATCTCCTCTTCAAGTTATCTCCCATTCCTCCTCACTCATAAAGATAAATATGACCAGAGGCAATCCCTCACATAAACAAGCATGGGGAACTGCGGCGTCTCGCACTTGAACTGCAAAGATCTTGGTTTTGACCCAGAGGAAGAGTTCTGATTTGTACCGACCTGACAATCCCTCCCTTCAACCCGAAACACTGCAAGGCGTGACGCTGCTGAGTCAGTTGGAGCTGTAAGCACTTTACGTATGATTATATTTGTGGCATTTCAATGGGTTTCATACATGAGTGCTGTTGGATGAGTCTAATTTTACAAATGGATTGGTGCCCATTGTGGGGCTTAAAAACGAAAAGGCCTGTTTCAGTGCTGATAATGCAGCGCAGTCCTTACTACACTGTATATAAGTCCCTCATGCTCTCTGTGTGTAAATTTGCAGTTACTTTAGAATTTGTAGTGACATTAGTCTTCAAGTGACATGCTACTGCCGTAACAAAGATGGTTTGTGTGCACTGAGGTCGAGAAAATCAATCCAGCAGCTCTGAAGTTATTATACTGTAATGTACTAGCGTTATGAAAGAAGGCTAACCACTATTTTCTTGCAGTGACTCTCTATCAGTAAAAGCATTGAAAAGATGTACTTTACCTGTAATGGTCCGTGATCTTATGATGCTTTGGCTCTGTATATTTCTGAAAGAAAATTGAAAACCATTGCAAAAAGAGTTTTGCTTGATGTCTTTATTTAAACCAACGTGTTTGTGTGTGTGTGTGTGTGCGTGTGAGGGTATCAAAGTGCCTCAAAGTCTATATAAATGAAAAGGCAAATCTATGTTTAACAAGTTAAACTTGCAATCCCGTTAATTTTAAGTGCATGTCATTGCTGAAAATTATGTCACAAGAGTTTCTTCCTCGGAACAAATTTCGAGAAATGTAGCATTCCATCACTCGATCCTCTGCAGTGAATCCATCAATGCCTTATGAAGTAAAAAGTTATGTGTTTGTAAGAACTGAATTCTTCATTATGTGTTTTTTTTTATAATTATGTTTGTAATATATAGTAATAATGCTTCCTCCAGTGACAAAGCGCATTCCCGTTCTCCTCTCACATACACATTTAGAACAGTTTTGGACTGTTTTCACTTGTAAACAGCTAGTGTTTGATCTGTGTATATTTATCTTCTGATTCAGACCAGACAACTTTTTTCACTGGAGAAAACAATATTGTGAATAGAGGACTTGGATGAATAGACCAGAAACAACAATGCACAATGATTTGTTTCTTACAAACATTATGCTTTTCACTTCTCAAGATGTTAACTGATGGACTGGAGTGGTGAGGATTACTTGTAGGATATAGTGATGTTTTTATCAGTTGTTTGGACTCTCATTCTGATGGCACCCATTCACTGCAGAACATCCATTGCTGAGCAAGTGATGGAATGCCAATGCTTCTCCAAGTCGGTTCCCATGAAGAAATAAAATCATCTACATCTTGAATGACCTGAGAGTGAGTACATTTTCAGCAAATTAACTATTATTTTAAATGGGTTGTGCATTGCAATGCTTCTTCAATCTCTCTGCATCACTGTCAATATTAACATTCTGATTTTGGCGGTTCCGTTGTGTAGCCTGGTTATTTGGACAGATGGACAAATTAATCTGATGTAGTTTTACTCTCCGCTGATCCTGTTGACTGGGGTGACAGATGATACAGGTTTGGCTGAGTAATGCAACCAGCAGTTATGAGTTTAAAATTATTTCAGAAGAAGGTGCATTAGCATAATTCAGACGAAAAAAGTACTTAAAGTAGATCGTAATGATTTTATATGAAATAGTTTTGATTTAGAGTAATTTATTCAAGAAAACGGTTAATTGAATGGTTAAGACTTTGTTGGATGGAGATGTAATGTTTAAGTTTTATCACAAGTCAGTGTTACAATTAATGAATGATCTGTCATTTTTAATTTCAGTGCTGATAATGCAGCGCAGTCCTTACTACACTGTATATAAGTCCCTCATGCTCTCTGTGTGTAAATTTGCAGTTACTTTGCTTTGTTCTTTAGTCAGTTTGATTCATAAAGTGCAGAAAGCAAATCACACCATTGATACTGTACAAACGATCTCTTTTTATTTGATATTTTTCCACTCTCAGCATAGCCAATGCTATAGCCATAGGCAGAGAAGTGATTCAAATTAAATGTCCATAACACACTTACCTTGGCCTGTCTTTCTGTATTGATAACTGTTTCCTGCAAGGTGAAATGAAAATATACGGACCTATAGAAATCTTCCAGCACACAACAACGTGCACTGAATTTAGATCCAGGGTTTCTACACCTTTTGACCATTTTGTGATTTCTGGAGAAATCATTTTAGGGAGATTGACCAGAAATTGCTGTTTGCTGGTGAGATGAAATACCTTAAAGCTGAGCATAACTCAATATTGAAGATAGCTGTGGGTACCCTGTAAATATGCAAAATGCCAAAACATAATTCTCAGTTCATACTATTATGAATTTTAAACACGGGAGCCGAAGTGTGGATTTCTCCATACTTTATCCTGTACTGCATTTTAATAAGCAGAGACAACTATAAGTGAGCCATTTGTAAGCAGTGTGTGGCTAACAAAACATTTATCGGTTTCTTTGAGAATCCTGGCCAGCTACACATAGCAACGATGGTTCAACCAATGGCATTAGTTTGGAGGCGTGGCTACCTGTTAGTTTGTCTAATAATAACAGATGAGGGCGAGAGAGGAAACCTTATTGAAAAGAGTCATCATTTTTGCAATTCTGTCCGGTGACGCTGGTTGCACAAAAATTACACACTTCAGCTTTAAATTGCATTTAATGCTGATCGTTTCAAATGAATTAATGCTGGACAATGGTGAAAAATAGTTACCCATAACTCCAGACATTATGCAAATCAAGGGCAGCTGCTGTACCATTCCTTGCCACTGCATTATCTTCTACTTTACAATGCTAATACAGCCATATGGATATGTATTATTTTACATGGACATAACAAATTACACCATATGAACTAGTCAAGTCCTAAAACATGGCAAAATACTGAAAAATCCCCCAAAACAGATCACCATTCATGTAAAGAAGCTGCTATGTGCTAGAATGAACATGGCGTCTGTAAGCAAATATTGGATTAGGGCTGTTGTTCTGTTTGAGTAGCTCTCCATACTCTTTTGTAGCCTGTGTACTTTTCTTATCGCCCAGCCCTGGTGAGTTTCAATCCCTTCTCCCACTGGACCGCAAGTCTTGCCCGCTTCAGGCACCGGATGGTCATGCACTTACAACCAAACCAAACAGATGAACAAATACCACTCTGGATGATAGGACAGGGTCATTGCCAGCTGCAGACAGCAGACCACATTTATGGCTTTTACATTTCTCCCCTGACATTTCAGTACAGCCAGGCAGGCTACTGGCTGATGAAATGTTATGAATTCCCCTCTCTCGATGATACTGTTTTATATAGGCCTCTCCATTATGACGATCCCAGAGCAAGTTTTGTTTGAGGATGGTTGCAGTCGAGGCTGCATTGGCATAATATTGTGTAATAATTTCTGTACGCTATGAACGCGTTGCATTGATGATTTGTGCTCTGTTAAACGTTCAGTATGTAAAAGAGAGGAAAATATCATTATGTACAATGATGGGCAGCTCTTTCTGAATGGTTTGTGTCAATTGTGTCTTTTCTTCCTGTCCCAAGCACTTTCTTCATCAGATTTTTAT